GCAATGTGTTAATTATTGAAACTGTCCTACCAATTTGATTTGAAACTGTCTCATTGCTATTTGTTTATCAATAAAATTATGGGGAAAAAAAAAAAGAAAGAAACAGCAGGAAACCCAGCGAGGCCCTGAGGTGGAAAGCAATGTCAGCAACACAGGAGCCTGAGGCAGTGGAGCCCAAGTTTGAAGCCAGCCTGAGCAATTTAGGAAAACACAGTCCAAGAAATTAAAAGGCCCTGAGACTGTGGCTCAGTGTGAAAGTTCTGGATTCAATTCCCAATTACATGTACACACACACACACACACACACACACACACACACACACTAAAAAACAGAAAACTCTACTTCCTCTCCCCAAGCTTTTTCTGTTAGCACTGCAGTAAAGAGAGGCCCCACATTAGGAATAATCAGTCGTAGTGGCTGTGCTGAGCCGCACGATGACTCCTCAAAAGATGTCTCCATCTCACCCCCTAGAATCTGTGCCTGCTGCCCTACAGGACCAAGAGGAGACCCCATAGCCTGGCACAGTGGTCCATGCCTATGACCCACCCCTGAGGGGGGCTGAGGCAGGAGGATCACAAGTTCAACTTTCACCTGGGAGTCAAAATACGAACTCTGAGAGGGGCCAGGGCTGCAGCTCTGTGGCAGAGTGCCCCTAGGTTCAACCTCTAGGGCCACAAGAACACAGATGAGCAAGAGTGAGCTCCAGTGCAATCACATCATATATCTTCTTTAGTTCTCTTTTTGTTTTATAGTCCTGGAGACTGAACCTACATCCTTACATGTGGTAGGCAAATGCTCTACACTGAGCTAATCCCCAGCCTTTTTGTTTTTCAGTTATTTTGAGGTAGGATCTTGCCAAATTGCCTGGCTAGTCACAAGTTCACGCCTCCAGAGTGGCAGGACCTGCAGGTATGCACCACGGCACCGAGCACACACATATGCTTTGATTCACCGTAGAATACTATTCCGCTATAAAAAGAATGATGTCCTGACATTTTCCACAACCTAGATGGAAAACCGGCTCACTGTGCTAATCCAGGCATAGAAAGAAAAGTATCACACTATCTCATTCACTTGTAGAATGTAAAACAGGCAATCTCATAGAAGCTGGGAGCATAATGGTGCTTACCCAAAACCTAATGCTCCTGAGAGAGAGAGCTGGGAAAAGGAAAGGTGGGGAAAGATCGGCCGATGGGTACAGAGTTACGGGGAGTTACACGAAGTCCTAGTGTGCTACCCCACAGCAGCGTGACTGCAGGTACCACCAGCAATGTACTGTCCATTTCCCAAAAGCCACAAGGAAGGATTATGACATTTTTCCCATAAAGAAATGCTAAGTCACTCAGTGGACTAAGAGCCTGCTTAGGCAAGCGCAGGGACCAGGTTCGATCCCCAGCACCACATGCTGCATCAGCCCTGCACCCAGACCCAGGCAGGCCACTGAGACGGGTGTGGTGGTGAGACTGGGCGTGGTGGCGTGGTGGCACACACCTGTCATCCCAGCACTGGGGTGGCTGAGACAGGAGGATCACTATGAGTCCCA